AAAAAAAAAAAAAAAAAAAAAAAAAAAAAAAAAAAAAAAAAAAAAAAAAAAAAAAAAAAAAAAAAAAAACAATAAAACGAAAGTAGGCGAAAAATAATCTTATAGCTAAATATATGTCAAGCAAAAATCATGGACTCGCCGGTAATCGAAACCGGGACCTCTCCAATGCGAATGGAGCATTATACCACTAAACCACAAGCCCTTCTTATTGGCTGATATCTCGGGTAAGCCCTACAGCACCATGGTACTTGACCCGTGCTCAACCCTGGAACGCGATTACGATGCCATTACATTGGCGACTGGTCATCCTATCCTATTGCCCCATTTCTGTGTTTCATTAATCAACTCGGAGATCCTATCCGGGTCTCTGAGCCCCGGACCGCCTAACGGTATCAACGATGGAATTGGATACCACGGACAATACACCAACAGAAAGAGATCCGCCCGAAATAATTGACCCATACTGCTGCGGAATTGCTGGATACCGCCAAGGCAGAGACCTGGGCAGCGTGAGTATCCAAAAATTGAGCGAAAGCCTTGAGTCGGTCAATGCGTTGCAGCGTATTATCTGGCTCGCTTGCAGGCTTTGTGATGGACAGAATTGATAGAGCGATGTGATAATACTGTAGACCCGATGCTACTGGTGTTAGTTTAGATCGCACGCTGGGATGGGGTTAAACACACCATGCCACCCACTCATTGTCCACAGATGCGGGAAACTACTCTGACCGTATAGGCCTGGGGCGTGTATCGGCTCAAAAGAAGTAGGCAGAGATGCTCGCCAAGTCTCAAGGTTGTTCCTGGGCTCCTTCCACTCATGATGTCCCAGTCGTGTTGCGTCGCGAACGAGACACCGGTTAATAACTATTCCCAGTAAACATGTTACTCTATTGGCGAAGTCATCATCATCGTCCCCCATTAGTGGTAAGTGCACCCCACGAAGCTCAATCAAAAGGCTTCGTTTCTCCATCACCGCAACCGTGATGTTTTCTCGAAGGTGGTTCCAGAACCAGGTCCCGCAGGCCGACCAGCTATCAGCGAGTACGACCCTCGGAGATGATGCTGGCAGCTAGCATCTTCTGTAACTAGTAAGCAAATTCTCACAGCGTACAGTGGTAAGAGAAAAACCAACCAACGAGATATGACTTCATACGAGTGAAGAAGCCAAATCGCAGCTAGCGTCTCACCCGTCTGGAATTCCTGTATGTTCTCCGTAAGCCGTAACGACGCCCGAACACTTTCCAAATTATACGACCCCGCGAGGTCCCAGAGGTCCTGCTTCAGATCGTCAGAGCTCAGGCTTGCAGCAGAAAATGCCAGTATCGCGCTGAGGAGCAGTGATTTCTTCCGGGCTCGGCAAGGAACTATGTCTTCAAAATGTCGCATCGCATCGTTGAGATCATACCAGCTGGCCAGATGTTCAATGTAGTGACAGAATATCTCGGCAACAAGTGTATATTCAAACGCGCGTTCGGGCTTCTTGGTGGATATGAATTTTGTAGACGATGTCCTTGTATCGGGTAGACTGATCGGAGATGATGGGGAATGCATGAGCGGGTCGTCTTGGTTCGCGTTTCCTGCCGTCACTCCATTGGCAGTCGCGGGAGGATCGTTGGCGGCGGAAACAGACTGGCCGGCTTCCATCACCTGTATCACTGTCATTGATAGTTCATTCAAAAAGTTTGAAGAAGTTTACACCCCAGCTTTCTCGATCTACATTGTTGGCTACTTCATGTTAACAAAGTGAACTGGATCTGCCGGATGCAGGGTGCATCATCATGTTAGCCTATATTATACCGGCACCGCCAATGAACCTGGACTATACATACAGTTCAAGAGCTCGCATTATTCTCGGTGCCATGGGAGCTGCGGGGGTGGTCAGCTCTGTGGGGTCAAATCAGTATGGGCCCTTTTCTTTGCTGCGGTTTATGGCAATGGCCACGGCCTGGCAATGGCTACGGATTTCTACACCGCATGTGAGCTCGTCTGCACTATAGCCACAAGTACGGGTGTTATGCATACGAACTGCTGCCAATCTCGGCTTATTGACTCGCGAAATGCGAACCAATCAGCGCATTGCTTTCTACTGCGCATAGAAGTCAATACGGCTATAAAGCTGCGCACGATGCACCTACCTATAACATCATTATGGTCGCTTAAGGCTTCCCTAGTCATAACTGACAGTCCAGTACTCTCGCCCCGATCAGGCATCATACAACGCTTTGCAGCCGTCACAAAACTACCCAAGCCAGGTATCCGGAGCACACGACATTGGTCGCGATCCATATCCAGTCTGCCGGCCAGCATCACCCCCTCACAGGGGGAAATCAAGACCCGGCAACTCTCACCCCAGAATGTGGCAACCGCAATTCGAAGTCTGTACCACGACGGCCTAGTCGTAGTCGAGGACGTGATACCCCACGATTCTCTCAACCGGCTAAACCAGAAAATGGTCACCGATGCATACACCCTTCAGAGCAAGAAAGAGAACAGCCCATATAAATATAACCCGGGAAACATTCAACAGGACGCCCCGCCCGTCTTAAAGTATTTCGACCCCGAAACCTTCCTCAGTATGTGCTCGCACATGATTGTATAACATACATAAAAAAGAGGAGATAATGCTAACGCAATGCCAGATCCAATCGCAACGCAGATAACATCAACTGCGCTGGACCCGCGTCCAAAGTGGACATTCTGCTCCGGAACTTCCGCGATGCCACCAACTCCCGAACATCCGCCCACATCGCAGCCACTCGGACGCGGACTTCGACCATCCAGACCACCCGTTCGCTTATGTAGTGAACATCCCGCTCATCACCATGACACCGGAGAACGGCTCCACGGAGCTGTGGCTAGGAACACACACCGACTCCGGACTCCACGTTCAAGAAGGGGTGCACGGAGACCGGGCGAGTGGAAGAATTATGCCAAATGAGCTTGAGAGGCGGAGGGCGATACGGCCGCCAAGTCAACCTGCTGTTCATAAAAAATCGTTGTTTTTGAGAGACCTGAGATTGTGGCATGCTGGTGTGGGTAACTAGACGGATGATGTGAGGGTTATGTTAGCCATGAGTGAGTCTTCCCCCCCTCCCCCCTCTCCACAGGCAATTCAGAGTCTAACAATGGTAGTTCATTTTGCGCCGTGGTACCGGAACCCCATGAGACTGGAATTAGCTGAGGACCTGAGGCTCATGATCGAAGGACAATCGAGTCTGGAGGTTCCGGTAGATTGGGTTTCGGAGGCAGATGCTACATTGCGGTACTTGACCCGAACATTTGGCAACTCGTATGACTTTAGCCAGGGGCAGTAGAAACGGAAAAACTTACCGTGTCATCGTTGTTGTGAGAAATCAAGATGTCGATAGCACGCCATGAAATAGCGCATAAACCTTGAGATATGGAATGCCAATTGTAACCAAAGTTCCAATGTTTATCTTCATCAAGGGCCTATGGTTTAGTGGTATAACGCTTGATTTGCATTCAAGAGGTCCCGGTTTCGATTACCGGTGGGTCCATTTTTTGCCGATTGCACATATTCGGATACCATTGCTCGCATCATTTTGTTTTCAAGCCTTGTCTAAAACAATATTCTCTTATGGCATTCATAATTGAAGGGTGATCCGGTATTTATTTATTAATGCCGTACACGGTCTGTTCCATACCCAGAAGACTTGCTATCTACTACCCAGGTGCTGACTGCTCAGCCCTAATTAGAGCAACAGCGTAACTTCCATATCGTGCACGGTATTGAGATATGTTAAGGTAATTATCTATTTCATTGCGGTGCTGCTGCAACCCTGCATTGTACCTCTGTGATTAGCCTATCTATTTTATAGATTAGGGCTGTCAGAGAGAATACTTAATTCGAGATGGATGGTAATGGCAAGGTAGTCCTTGAGACTACACACCGTAAACCCGCCAACCTGGAAAAGCCACGATGAGCAGGATACTACCTATACTATAAGTAACTTTTGCGACAAGGAAGTCCGACATTACACAAGACTAGTCATCAAGTGAGGTTGACGTGGAATACGAGATCTGTCCTCTTCCTCATCTCCCAAATCTCTCCCTATCCTCCCCAAGCGCGAGTTGGTGTCGACATCCAGACAACAGGACATCCACCAGCAAGACAGGATACGTCGCCAAACTGCAACACTTGTGAGAAGTGGAGAAGAAGAAATAACACCAGGAAATCGGATCTAAAACAG